TTGCCAGCTGCTGCTCAGAATTTCCAGCTGAAGGGTGCGTAATGTTTCCAGTGCCACTCTGATTGACGGGTTTATCTTCCAGTCCATTTACTTACTTAATTATCCCACAGCGAGCAAGAAGGCATTCCTTATAAATATGGTAATAAGCAGATCAGGATGACAACAGAAGCACATTCTTGTACAGTTTGTGGAAAAAGCCGACGTTCCCCAGTTTCAGTTTGCATCAGGCTTCCCCCACCAGCAGTCAGTAAATTAAGAAACAATATCTGGTGACCTTAAAACATCAGCCCTCTCAGTCAGGACCTGCCTGGAGCTGTCCTCATTTGGGACGGTGCCCCTGTCCCACGTTTTCACATTCTAGCACATGCTGGAAAGGTACAAAGCTCGTGTTTCCCTTTAACTTCTGGGATGTCAAAGGTTTCATTTGACAACTTCAGTTGCCCTGTAAAGTACAGAGGGGCCATAGACACCTCAGACCTGATTAATTGATGAGGGGAGATTTTTTTTCCACCTGATACCAAAGGTGGATGAGGCTATTTTTGTAAAGGTGATTCTATCAAAAATAATTTGGTGGCTGCAATTTTTTAGATGATATTTTTCAGTGGTGTAAATAATACCTTCTAGGTTTAAAACACTGAAGTATCTGATGTCAAACTGTGTAGGCATGCATGGAAATGACCATAAAGAGCCTGAAGTCCCACTGTTTCTACTTCAGTAGGAATTTTGAGTAAGAATGAATGAAGGGCTTGGCTGCAGGTCCAAAATCCCTATGCAGACTAAAACCTGCTTCAGAAAACACGATGGGAGTGCAAGGGGCTGCAGAGCCCCTCTGCAGCAGCCCCACGTGCCAGCAAACACCCCTGAGCTGTGCCGCCCGCTCTGCCTGGGTGATCCTGTGTCTGTGTGTGTGTATGTGCACGTACCGCACACGTACGCTTCCCGAGCCATGTCTATCGGTGTCATCTCCGTGTGGGTGGCACCAGTGACTGTGCATATGTTTGCTGGCTGTAGGTGTGCCGAGGGTTAGCTACACACACGCTGCTGGGTACGTCGGTGCTGTGAACGGAGGGGCTGTTTCACCCTTTTTCCTTTTTGATCACTTCTAGATTTTTTTTCCCCATTTTGAATTTCTGGAGTCTGTTCTCTCAGCACCTGGGCTACAATCATTCCTTGAGAGATGTATTATCCAAAATAACAAAATTGAGGTGAACAAGGCAGGGAGAGAAACACACGTGACTCCATTAGCGTTCATTTATGGCAAGGCTCTGCGAAACCCATACGAGAGTCTGTGTTGTTTGGAGTTTATTTAAATTAATCACTATAATTGCATTTTGCTCTTTATCAAAAGCTTCCTATAGAGATTGTCCAGCTAGAGAATAAAAGGAATTTTAGAAATAGTAGTATTTCAATAGCCTTTTTAAAGGCATTCAGGAGCATAATGTAAAACACACAGTGGGCACTGGGTGAAATAATTCTGCCGGGAGGTCGGATGGATGCCGAGTTGATTTCCTCATTTTTCAAGGCTGGAGGCTTCTGCATGTGAATGAGTCCTTTGTTTTTCCAAGGCTTCTGGTACAGAAATATATCTGCTGCAACAACCGCTTATTTGCTATCCTGGAAACAAAAGCTCTGATAGCGAAGGCAGACCCTTCTGCTCGTGTGGACAACTTCATGTCATGCAAAGCAGAGCAAAGAGGAAGGTGGCAAACAGTCTCCTCAGAGACAAAATTCTCCAGTGTCCAGAACCTTGGAGCAGAAATGAGTGAGAACAGAGGTTCTTGCCCAGTATAGCAAGGTCAGCTCCAGGTAAAGCACAGCGGGAACAGTAGCTCTGATGTTTTCATTTTCTTAATCTTATCTCTGGGAAAGATCTTAAGTGAACCACCTACACTGTTTTAAAATTCCACAGTTTTAAAATTGGACAGCCTTTTTTTTTTTTTTTTCAGACATGTATTTACCTAATTCTTTACTCTCAGCTGCGTGGATTAATCCCACAAGGCCTTGTTGGATATTTCCTGTTAACCACCAGGTGCCTGCCTGTCCCGCTTATGTCTTAAGAACCCTTTGAGACAAAATATGGGTCTTCAAAACTCCCCTCCCTGATATTTTTAGTTGCCCCTGATTAAGATGCCACTTTGTAATATACTTGTACGCTGTATTGAATGATTTTCTTTGTTTTCTGAAATCTGAAAGGAGGAACAAGCTCCTTCAATTGTTTTTATGAATCTAGATAGTTCTGTCAGTGCTCTTCTCTCAGCAGACTCGTGGATTGACCTGTTGTTCTGTTGGGACCACTCTTGTGACATCAAAAAGTTTCACCAGTTTCCCAGGACTTGGTTTGGTGTTTAGACAAAAGTTCTGAAGCTATATTGCTTTAGTGTTGATTTAGAAATCTTCGGAGCAGTTAGAGTTAATTCCTAACATCTTTGTGCTAACAAAGTCTGAATAAAATGCTCTTATCTATAGGGAAAAAGGAAATGAATACCTTCTTAAAATAATGATCTTATTACTACTTATCTTGTTACACTGCACTGAGGTTCTCCTTGTTAAACCACCTGCACTTTGAGAGGTTTATAGACAAAAGCAGCACTATTAATTAATGCGACTGTGCAAGCTTTCTCTGAGCTATTACAATCTTTTATTGTTATGGCTACTATTATTATTATCAGATAGGCTGTTTGGGAGTTTTGAAAATGTGCTATCATCTTTCTGTTGCGCTGGTTATCCTTCAGTGCCTTTCTTCAGATTATAAATGCAGCTGTTTCTATTAAATTCTGCATGGAAAGCAAGAGCCCATAAAACTGATCAGAGGGTTATTTTAGCCTCAAATCAGTATTGCTTCAATTATACAAGGAGTGAGATGGAAGTCTGAAGGTGCTACCTATCCACAACAGATGTAAATTTGTTCTGCTTGAATATGACTCTGGGATGCCAGTCACCCAGGCAGTGAGACAGTGTAAGAGCATCCTTTGGCCACCTGTAACTGACTCCTGAATGCCCAAACAATTGCTCTAATGAACCTGCAGTCTCTGGCACGGAGTCACTGCCTTTGTCAAGGGCGGCTTAGGGAAAAAAGGAATCCATCCTAGAAGGATGTTTTATTGCTTGCCATAAGGAAGTTGCAAGTCTTCTGGGCTCTGGCTTTTGCAGTGTAGCTTTACGTACTGTCCTTGTAAGAGGGCACAAAGTTGCAGGCATCAGTGCAAGTCCTTGCTGATGCAATGCATTAGAGTAGGGTGCTGAGACCTTACACCTACTCTGGTATTTAAGCACTTTGTTGTCCCAGAAGACACAGTGAAATCCATAAAACTGTCTGGGAAGAGGTTAAAGATCCCAAACTCTTATTTGCAGAGATTAAATGAAGGTCTGATCTCCTTTACCCCGAGCCTGTGCCCGTAGCCCCATGAGAGATGATTTTCCAGTCATTGTCCTGTTTGGCTGTGGAGATAGTGAGTGACCATATATGATGCTGCTCTACCCACAGCCTCTGTCACAGCTGACAGGAAGGGCTGTATGGGGAAAAAAACCCGCAGTAAATCTCTTTCAGAGGAAGTAGAGGACCTGTCAACAAAAACATGCTAGCACCTCTGTTTTCAAGGCTGTTCTGTTCATAGAAGGCTTATAAAGAGTAGTGTTGTCCCTGCACCATAAAGTTATGTCACACCTTGTGTGGCCAAGAGGGAATGTCTCCGTGCTACTGCAGATTTTGTAGGCTTTGGTCACATTGCATTTCAGTTATCCCACTCTTCAGAGTTCTGGTCTGACCAACTGTTTCTTATGCGGGAGCAATTCCCAGCCTTTGAACCACCTTGATCACCGCTCTTGGATGTTCTTCCAATTTCACCATATGCTTTTGGAGACAGGGAGTGGGGACCAGGGCAAGGCACCCTACACCAAATGAGGACACTGGGCATCTGAGTCCTCTTTCTAACTCTGCTCCAAACATCCTTCTTTTTTTCACTTTCCTCTCTGCTGTTTACCCCTTGTGTGTGTATTCAGGCTGCGAATGGTAAGGGCAGAATCTCTGTGCTTGGACATGGGTTTTCAGGCACAAGCGACCCCAAGTTTGGTTTGGGACTTCGTGTTTTAGGGGAGCATGCGTGAATTTTCTCTCAAGATGGCTATGGCTCTGTGTTCACAGCAGTTCTTCCTCAAATATTTCTAAATCTCAAATTCTGCCTAGGAGCTGTTTTTTATTGTTGTTAATTTTATTGATTTTTTTTTTTTTTTTTTTTTTTTTTTTAGCAAAGCTGCTTATGGTCAGATAAGCTCCATCCTCCCTATAACTGCCACAGAACAGCTCCTATAATGATCCAGGCTAGAACAGTCCCCTAATTTCAGAAGTCTGCCCTATCTGACGGTGCCGGTGAGCGCAGATTCCTCCACATCAAATGCAGGGGTGAAATGCCTCCTAGGTTAACGGTGGGCAGGAAAAATCAAGGAGAAAGGTGATGGTGGGGGGTTCATCTTTTCCCCCTTCGGGATCTCTGTTGTTCTGAAATCCTTCCTTCCAAAGCACGTTGGCAGGATACGACCTTCTTTGTTATCCTGCTGAGCCGGGCTGTAGAGGCTGATCTGTTCAACTCCAGGACCCAGGGGTGAGAGCCCAGGTTGGGAAGCGATGGATCAGAGGCAGAGGAGTTTAAGCCCTTTTTCTAGAGGAGTTTGCCACCTACTGATTTGCAGGTTCCTTCTAGCTCCTGCCAAGAGAAGTTGAGGGGGAAAGCCAGGAATTTAGGGGGTAGGTAGGAATTACCCTTAGAAACCCCAGCCAGGACCCCCGGGGGGTAGGGAATAGCCGGGGCGAGGAAGGGATGCGGTACCCAGCTGTTGAGCTCCAACTGGGAGAAAGGGAATGAGCTGGGTGGAAGCGGCTGGTGCGTGCGTGTGCGTGTGTGTTGTGTGTGGCGGGGGAGGGATGTGGATGAGGAGCGGGCTCTCTTTTTCTTTCTCCCGGGGCTCA